TTTTTTTTTTTCTCACAGATTATTGACTTCTAAGAAGGACTGTTAATAGCTAATCTATATTTTCATTCTAAGAGTTGTCTCTGACTTTTGGGGGCAGAACGTAACCAGGAGCGTGGCGGAGATTGTTCCATCCTCTATGTGTGCAGAATTTATTTGATGTAGAACACCACGATATCAGTCGACATTTTTATTTTTACTGTTTGTTTGTTCTACGGTACACTCATTCTCTCTTATCACATAAGGGGCAAAATTACTGAATACTGATTGGCTGAGACAGAGGGCGTTTTTTTCCTAACCACCAGGGCACTTTTGGTAATCAAGAGGGCATGATAAATTGATGCTGATTGGCTGAGCACGTCTGCATCAATTTGGTTTCCCGCTTCAAACGGATTTCGAAAAGGAATTTCAGAAACGCATCACTTCTGAGTTTGATCTAAGCGCGGTTATTTCATCTTAACGTGAACGAAAATTGACATGCAGCAAAGCGCAGTCTTTTAGTGGAAAAGCAAAAGGATTTTTCCAGCCAAAAATGTATTGATTCGCAGCCTGAAAAAAGTTTGAGTGGGGACGGCTGGTGTCGCACGAAGCATAGAGTCACAGAACTTCATGGCTGCCAAACTGAAAGTTAATTTCTTCTTTTTGCTTCGGGTGGCCTTATTAGTATCATAGGTCACCTTACCGGCGTAAAAAACGGCGTAAATTTTGTTAGTACGTTAAGTTTTTGCGGTGGACAGGAGAGTTTTGGATTCAAGAAGTTATTAGCTGTTTGGACGCTTGTTTACGTTTTTCATCGATCGATTAAGTAGTTTCACGCCGTTGCAAGCTTCGCAAAAGTTAAACAGGTGAAAAACTTAGATTGTTAGGGAAATTGTTAAAATTATTTGTTAAGAAATTGCTTTGAGTGAATTAAACTTGCTGTGTTTTGCTTACTACTGTAGTAGGCTTTCCTTGCTCTACTGCTAGCCTGTTCTTTAATGACAACCGACAAACATGTTTACTCGACGGCAAGACCTTGAAAGTTTTCCTTTGTACAGAATTTTGCCCTTTATGTGATAAACAAGTAATCGCAAGTGCCATCGGGCAATTAAGGATTAATTTCACTTTTATTTCTAAAGTTTTCAAAATTGCCCTCGTCGCTTCTGACTCGGGCAATTTTGCAAAAACTTTTAAAATACACGTGAAATTAATCCTTAATTGCACGCGGGCACTTGCGATTACATATACAAATCAAAGCGTGTCAATGCTAATCTATTGAGGTGTTAAGAACTTTTTTGACTAAACAGCATCATACAGGTTTTGTCATTGCACCAAGATGTAGCCCATCGCTTTGATGTGTTTGTTTCCGTTATCTGGTGAGTGCGTCGCTTGGTTTCCACAAGTGTTGGAGTCATCGTGTTTCCCTCCGGTGCCAAAGCCGATTCTGGAGTCACAGCTTTTGCAGTTATTTTGCTGATTAGCAACGATACCGATTCTTGCTTTAGCAAATCTACCCTTAGTACCTACAGCATTGAAGCCTTCCTTATTACAGTTGAGCTGTAAGGAAGCCTGTGAACCAATCAGCGTCTTCCACGTGTTACGACCTAGTGAGGTAGCGCGGTATTGCCAGTCAGCGATCAGTGAGTACAGAGAGTTGGCCTGCGTGTTAATGACAATGAAGTTGATCTGATGGCCGATCTTCATACCAAGACAGATCTTGGAGAAGGGTGTGTTCCAGTAGGTCGGTAACTTGGTCTCTTGTAAGTCAAACCCAGTCTTGCCTCCTGCAAGATTATAGATATTTCTGTCGCTCCAAAAGCGAGAATTGTAATGGAAAGTTCTCTGAAAATTAAAAGCAAAACTTTGGTTTCCATCTCACTGAAATGTCCTCAATAATAACAATTTTCAGTAACGGTAAAGAGATTTGTACCTTCGTTCCGTCAATCTTCATGGCCAGCGTCCATCCTCCATCTCCACATCCAAAGTTTCCCATGTGACAGTAAACAGGAATTGTTTGAGAACCAAACATTAGTGGATACACTTGACTCTTTGAAGAACTGTGAGGGAAAAAGGGTTAGAGAGGAGGCTAGTCACTGAAATCTCTCACTCTTCGCTGATGTTGCCTCATCTTATCATGCCCTTTTATTTCTTTCGCATCGTGCGTTCTGCATCGTTAAGCCTGATTTTCACTAGCGACGCTAGCACAAGTGCAAGCACAGCAATTCTTATTTCACCGTGAAAACGGGCTAGACTTAGGCATAAGCATAGGCAAAAGCACAAACAGAAGCCGGTTCAAAATTTGTCCTTTTTCAGTTGTGCTTGCGCTAATGTTCGCGTTTGCGCTGCAACAAGTGAAAACGAAATACCGCTCAGGCATAACACAAGCACAAGGTTATTTACGACACGTGGATATGTTTGGCCAGTGAAAACACTGGATCCAGATTACCTCGCGCCTAAACAGCTCGGAAATGTTCGGATGATTTTGCTCGTGCTTGTGTTTGCGTCAAATTTCGTTGTCACTTGGGCCATCCCCGTTACTTGCATTCGTGCGTTCGTCTCTAGTGAAAACCAGGCCACAGGGAGCACACGACCTTGTTGAGTAGCAAGACAGTTATAAGGAATAAAAAGAATATACAATTTACTTTTGTCTACCGTTGTCTCTAACACGACAACCGCTACGACAACCGCAAGTCCTACGTGACACTTCGACTGTCGTGGAACTATTCGAAAACAAATTCGGCCAAGTTGTAGTAAAATCTTTCGACTTCGTTTTGTGTTTGTTTGGTTTTGTGGAAGCAACGAAATTTAGAGATTCGAGCGAATATTCGGATTGTGTTCAAAACGTTTGGGCAAAGAGTTGCCTCCCTTGTCAATGTTATATGTAAACTAAAAAAATTTTGCAGAGCGCGAAAAGGCCTAGATACGAGTTTAGCGCGACAATGTTACGTAGGACCAGTAGGTAGCGGTTGTCGTATAAGAAATGACAACAGGAGACAAAGGTTGACTATTTCGTTCTTTTCATTCCTTTATAACTCTCTCCCTACTCAACAAGAGCGTGTGCTCCCCGTGACCAGGCTTTAAAGTTAACCTTCTCAAAGTCATTAATAATTCATCAGGCTTAAACAAAGGAAATCATTATTGTNTTTCCCATGTGACAGTAAACAGGAATTGTTTGAGAACCAAACATTAGTGGATACACTTGACTCATTGAAGAACTGCGAGAGAAAAAGGGTTAGAGAGGGGACTAGTCACTCAAACCTCTCACTCTTCGCTGTTGTCGCCTCATCTTGTCATGTCCTTTTATTTCTTTCGCATCGTGCGTTCTGCAACGTTAAGCCTGGTTTTCACTAGCGACGCTAGCACAAGCGCAAGCACAACAATTCTTATTTCACCGTGAAAACGGCCTTGATACAGGCATGAGCACAAGCACAAGAATGAAAATTTGTCCTTTTTCAGTTGTGCTTGCGCTTATGCTTGCGTTTGCGCCGCAACAAATGAAAACGAAATACCAGCTCAAGCATAACACAAGCACAAGTATAATTACCACTCGTGGATATGTTTGGCCGGTGAAAACACTGGATCCAGATTACCTCGCGCCTAAACAGTTCGGAATGTTCGGATAATTTTGGTTTTGCTTGTGTTTGCGTCGAATTACGTTGGCACTTGGGTCATCCCTATTGCTTACGTTTGTGCTTACGCTTGTGCTTGCGTCGCTAGTAAAAACTAGGCTTTAAAGTTAACCTTCTTAAACTCATTAATAATTAATCAGCCTTAAACAAAGGAAATCTTGATTGTGACGGTGTTGATTGGTTGTGACGGATATCTGATCATAATTAGCTTGGATTTTGATAATTTTATTTCCCCGTTTTCTCCTTAGTTTTAGTTTCGATTCAGAATATATATATCAAATCATCAAGACGTCCGTGTTTGGCCACATTTCCAACAGGAAGCTCTTTTTCAGAGGGAAATAGCGTTTCGTTTCCGGAAAAATATTCAAAGTCTGAGAAAGGCTGGGGTTTTGATATCTCGTGCATGAGAAGTCCCGGGGTGAGGGAAATTTGTGCTAATGCGCCGCTTTGCGCCGCACTGATGCGCTCAGGTGCCAGAGACTGGGAGTCTCGTCCAGGCGAGGTGTAGTACTAAACGTGCTGTAAAAGAGAAAGGGCTAATTAATTTAAGTTGTCTACACATGTATCCGCAGTTACTACAGTCAACACACTTCGAAATGTATTTACATCCCTTTGACTCTGCCCTAGGGGAGGGGGGTATACTGGTATGTCCAGCCTCAAAGCGTATGGTTCTTTTTAAGACAGTTTGGTCAGAAGTACAGTATCGATTGTGGTCATTTTGGTCTCAAACTGGGTAGGTTTTTTTTTCACTCCAGTCTTGAATTAGGTATGCTTTTTAGGACAAGCTACTTCTTTCATCATTATCGATAAGACCAGCAAATAACGCCATTCACAATAAATTTAACATTATTCTGAACAAAAGAACTAAGGCAGGTCTGAAACAGGATATTAATTAAGGATTCAGGTCACAAATAGGGTAGAAAAATCGCAGATTTTTGGTCTTGAATAGTTGGGTGAGTGCTTTGGGAAGAGGGCCACACAGCCCCGCCGAATTTTTCATAAATGCAAAGTATTGGGTGTGAGGCTAAATGAAGCTAAGAGGCAAAAGCGTTTTCCTATTTCTGTGTCAGACAGCGCTTGATTCGAATGGAAGCGACATTCTATGTTTCCTTGTCAGTGATGCAGTATATTTTTCTTTTCAAAAAGGACGTCGTATGTGTGACGAACAGTTGTGCAATTATTCTTCCATTTCTGCTGGAATATTATGAAGCTAAAAGACAAATGCTATCGGTATTTTCATGGAAACGGTACGTCAAAATACAAATTTTCTTATTTTTAAAAGCGCGTTCTTAGAACATACTCTACTCGAATTGTGCCGGAAAATTTGACAAATTCAACTAAATCTGTAAAATATCGCAATATAGCGACGTTGATTAAAATAAAATATGATGAATTAGTTACCTTCCACAATATATCGTACCTATAGTATCGTCCAATCGTTCTAAGTGCATGCGTGTTCATTTCCCCTAAACAGCCACAGAAAAGGGGCAGGATCGTTATTCCTGACAGGTGTTCTGATTGACCAAAATTATGTCGTCGTAGTTGTGTTCTTAATTACATTTTAATCAAGCACGGAAACAGATATCTTCGTTTCTCTAGAATACATGGTTTCAGTCTGACTTAGAACCAAATAGGTCGCCAACTATTTCCACCTGTATGGCATTTTGAGTTCCTTTTGTTTCCGTGATATGAAATTAAATTTAGTTTCAACAAGTTGTTTTTGCTGAACACGTTCAGTTACCTTGTGAATTACAAGCGTTAGCCTGATAACATTCATACTCACTATGTCAAGAAATCACTCTGTACTCACTATGTCAATAAATCACTCTGAAACGGAAAACAGTACGATTTCTTCGTTGAACTGAACAAATTTAGTACTAACTGCTTCCATCGGATTAAAATATCGCATTGGTGGACAAATCGTGTGGTGTGGTGGTGTCCCTACCTCGAAAATATATTTCCTTTTCTTTAATGTAACACTATCCGATTAGAAGTCTAGTTTCTAGTTTTCTTGTGTAATATAAAAAGGAGAAACGAGAGTTTTAATCGTAATTCCCCATTTTCGCACAAGGCAACAATTGAAATGTTGCAAATGCCACATGTTGTTGCGATGCACCGAGTTTTGGCTGAGATTTTGCCGCCGTAGTTACATTAACAATTACGAACTTTACTCTGATCATGATTGCATATTACCTCCATTATGTAAATAGTTCAACCCTGAACTGAAAACAACGCCATTTCGTTTCTGAGGAAACTAAACAAAAACCACGAAGTTCGTCCAAAATACTCCCCTAGGTGTCGTATTTTCAACTCTCTTCCCGATGTTTGGAAATGTGGTTAAACACTGCCTTTCGGTCTTGATATATTACGTCTTCGCCGCTTTCTTTAACGCTTCGTGTTCCTGAGTCATACAACGTTTCTAAGTGTCTCGACTTTATCCCGTTATTTCTATTTGTATTATATTTGAAACCGCTTTACACCTCTTAGCATCGCTTCAATTGGTTTTGTGATCAAAATAAATTAATGATACGTGTCTTCGGCTCTTTTACCATAACACACTTGGTGTCTTCCATTGCACCAGCATCAATAGACCAAGACAAACGAAAATATATCCCACATTAGTGTAATTTCCAGAGGTGAATATAAGAATTGGACATTCTGATTGATCGAAAAATTGAAAAACAATTCTGATTGGGCGAATAATTGTTAATTTATAATCGTTTGTATTGTGACATCGGTCCAGTATTTTACCCTAACAATTTAACCAATATATGCAGTGTACTCGCGTTAAAATGTCCTAAAATGTGAAACCGCAACGTTTTAACTTCTCGGCCACTTTCCTTTATATCCCTTTGGCCCTCAAAAAAATGCAGTGCTCACAAGGGCCTCTTTGCTCCCTAAACTCTTGTACCTTTAATTTTCCAAGCTAACTATTACAATAAATCGACTGCAGTACATGGTAAAATGTATTTTTTTTACTTAATGAAAGACAATTGAGCTGTTAACTTACGGGTATGTGTCATACTGTTCTTTACAAGAAGAAACAGGATCTGCTGGAAACGAGATCAATAAAACCTACATAGGTTAGATGTAATTTTCAAAAGGTTAGTTTAAAAAGGAAACCTTATTGGAATCAGTCTAGTTTACCTGGAGGTGTCTGCGGAGGAGTGCGAGTGGAATTTTTGTTTACCAATGCAATAAGGTTTTCCAGCTTCGTTTCCAACGTCTTAATGGCTGAAATCATCGTATTGCAGCAGTTTGTACGTGTATGGTTTGGTATCATGTGGCTGCCCTGGGCCATCAACGCGAGCACGTTTGCGCTAAAACAAGCTGCGAATAACAACAAATCCATTTTTCCGGATTCGTCGTAAAAGTGATTTTGTGTCTCTCCACTGAATCCTGCGTCTGAATTGATGGAGTGCCGTCTGGTTCTTTTCATCGCCGCAAAAAAGACAATAATTTCTGATATTTTCTTCCTTGCACTTAGCCAGATCCAATCAGCTTGTTCCTAGTTTATTTTTAGCGTCACTCGAAGGAAGTTGCTACTGATATGTAACTCATACCGCTTTTAGAAATTACGGAAGGTTGTCAAAACAAGTGCGGTGAAGCCCAGATATTTTTGCCTTCTTACGTCATTCAGCATCTTTCACTTTCAAAACTACAGCAAAAAATATATCTAAAAAGAAACCGAGCTTGAGTGTCACCATGCTCAATACAAGATCGAGTTTATGGGCCGGTTCCTAGCCAGTACCAATTTGACCTTTTTCTCCAACCAGACATGAATTCGTTATCCAAAAAAGAAATTGAACATTCCATCTGTATCTTAGTGTTTTTGAAAGGCGTACTTGAGATCAGACCACAAGTCTTCTTCACGGAGTAAGACTTCATATGCTACGTTTTCACCGCTTTTTAAAATTTCAACAGCTCAACTTATTTGTGTGTTCCACACAAAAATCGAAAAAATTCTTTATTCTTATACCAATCATGGAGTTAGATTCGATAACCTTGTGGAAAGCATTTTCTAAAATTGGCCAGAGTGGAACAGATATTGAATTTCAGCAGTCAACAATATTCGCCATGAAATCAATATAGGGTCCTATAAAGCTTCCGGTTCTTAGGCTATAATGAACCACATTCATAAGAATAATATATAGATTTAGGCCAGCCTAAAAGCGTAGCTCCTGGGCCGGGTTGTTCAGAGCCCGATTAAGCTAACCCAGGAAAAGATAGAATTTTGATTTGAGTTTTGTAACTTTGCGGTGAGGTTTTCTGTATATTGTTTGGCATGGCCTTCTGTTTTGAGTTTTAATAATCACGATATACAAAAAACAAAGCAGCAAAAAACATTTGTATAGAAGGAAAAGTTATGATTCGGTTAACTTTTAATCCTGGGTTAGCGTTAACCGGCTTCCGAACAATCCTGCCCTGTTTTCAACAAGTTAACCTGACATGAGCCCGCGATTCAATCGAGCCTGCACATGGTCAGCGTTCAACTTCAAAAAACACGTGACCTCGATTAACTTGAGCCCGCGATATGGCCACGTGATACTGGTCAGCGGATACCTTGTTTTGACAGGTGCCAATTGATCATGACATGGATGTCCAATATCAAAGAGGCACACGGTAAACCAAGGCTGCATGTCTGTCAACCTATTATTTGGAGTATGGCCGCCATGTTGCGCGACTCCGTCGTCGCCGTCGCCGTCGCCGTCGTGCGTACGCGCCCACGAGCAATACCGCTAGCCATGATAACCATGAGAAAATCAATTCATGGGTTTCCTTTTCTTTCCTATACGAGTATGGGGCTCTGCTTGGCGGCACTTCGGGCCGCCGGAGCTCCGCTGTTATTTTTATAATGGGAGATTGAAAAACTATTAGATGCGTCATGGAACGCATTATTTCTTTTTTCATTGGCTGGCTCGCATGAATGAGTTTGGCTCATCGGGCGTAATCAGTCATGATCTACCCCAAACAATTGATGTGGATAGTCATCCGTGCATGGGAGGTTAAAAAGTCTGCATAGACTGAAAAACAGTTCTTGAGTTTCTTGGGCGAAATGCGGTTTCCTTCCACTCTCTCTTGAAGTACGAGTGAAGGACTGACTTTAACTGAAACACCATTAAGTTATGGCAAAGGGAATAAGAATTCTGTCGAATTAACAAATTGACGTCAGTTTTTTATGCGTGTGTCATCTTATTGATGATAAATTTCGCCATAACATTGTCAAAGTGGCTGTGGAACCACGAGCCGCAGGCGAGTGGTTCCGCAGTAAACTTTGACAATGTTATGGCGAAATTTATCATCAATA